CCGCCCTCTCCATAACCACGCCCTCGTCGTAACCACGCCCCCGTAGCCACGCCCACTTCTCGGCTCTGCAGATTTCTGCAGAGGCTTCTGCAAGACTGTCCTTGAAACCCTGGTCCCTGCAAAACCATCCGAGCGCAGAACAGGAGCCAAACCTCCTAAACGAACGGGTCCCGCCCGGCTGAGTTCAAGCCCTGGGCCTGAGAAAGCGAATATCAAGAGTCTTCTCACATGATCTCGCTTATACGTGGATTCTAAAGAACTTAATAAAGTGATGAACAGAATAGATTCAGTGACATGGAAGCATAGAGGAGACTGAGGAATGTCAGAGGGAGGGAGGAGGGCGGGTGGGTGGAGGGGGTGAGAGTAACTAAAAGATTCATATGCAGATATGCACAACCAAAGGACAGGGACAATGGTGGGGAGAGGGACTGCGGAGGGAGGGGACGGGGTGGAACGGGTCCTTGGGGAGAAAAAAGGACATCTGTAATATTTTAAACAAAAAAAAAAATTGAAAAAACAAGTCTTCAAGTTGGGGATGATTTCAGATGCAGGAAACTCAGGGAATGTGGGGAAAATTAAGGGGGACTGGAAGGCAAGCGCCTGAGAGGACTGAATGCATTTCCTTCTGCACCGAGCTGGGCTGCAGGGCAGAGAAGACCCAGGGGACGCCCAGCTTGCTTTGCATTTGCCACTCCCTCCCCTAGCTCAGACTGAAACCCTCCTAACCAGGCACCGCCAGGTCCCCTCTCTGATGCCACGAAGAACCTATGGAAAAGGGATGTCTGGGAAAGGCGGGCCTGCCTCGCGCGCTAGCAGGACTTTTCCGAACACCTTTTCACAGTTTTAGGATTTGTATTTTTGCATGAAACGCCATCAGCTAGACAGCTACGGCCAAACCACTGCATAAAGCACGCTTCGTTTCAATGCAGTGTTTTGGCTTGGTCAAGTGAGTTTATCTTTTGGAAAGCACATGATCATGTAAACTGCCCTGGGCCCACAACCACAATTTTAGCAGAAATGAGTAGGAAGGATGCTACAAAAAGAAACACTCTCTCTTCTCAGAGAGAGACATTACCATTTAATTTTGGGCATCACTGATCAAGAAGTGCAATAATGTGAATCTCTTAAATTTCTTAATTCTTACTATTTCAGCCTTAAGGCTTGATGAGAAAGAAAAGAGAACCCAGGGGTATCATCTCTCATACTCTGTGGTGTGTACACTTTGTATATATATTTTTTAATTGCGCAACTCTAATAGCCAACATGAGTCGTTTCATTAACTCAAACTATCTGTAATCTTCTGCCATTACCTCTACAGATCTTAGCAAATGGGCTCCTTTTCTATTTAATGACTTGCAAAGAAGAGACCGAATTTACCTGTTTTTTTTTAAAGCTACCCAGGAAATGGGTAAACTCTCTAAAGAACCAAATCCAACTCAGGTCCTCTTTAGTGCAAATATATGCAAAGGAAAGCAATTCAAAACGCATTATTTGAATAATAGTACCAAAACACCATCTTATTACAGATTTCATTAAATGTTAGCAGCATAAAATTTTTGTTTGTAATTCCGTATGAAAATGCAATCTGATAATGGCACTTAGAACTGCACTATTAAATGCAAAATGATATTCTATGTTATGATGCAAGTATGCTAGCTAAAACCTGGCAAACAATGAGTAATAACTTTCTGTGCCACACAAGATCTAACAACATACCCTCAAGCATCAATCTTGATGACAGAAGCCTACTAAGAAAAACAAATATGTCATCGAAGCATTCATTTTGCTTTTGTACAACGAGAAAACTCATCTGCTTCAATTTCCTTGCAAATCAGAATCTGGACTCAAGTTCAAAGAAACCTCCTGCAGTTGAGAATTCTGCAAAAAACGCCCCTCAGAAAAATCAGTTGTACCCTGAGTTAAAAAAATATGCAGCAACCAAGAGATAACAGAGAAAGAGAAAATAAGATGAAAGCCACTGCCAACAACTGAACTGGTATTTCAGTGTTTTGTGTGTGTTTTTCTTGCTAAGACGCTCGCTTAAATTACCAAGTAGCCCCACAGGTCAAGCTACCCTCTGTGGCTGTGTGAAAATCAGCAGTGTCCATCAATGGCATCTTTACCCGGATAGCACTGTCAGGCTCCAATGGGTGAGAAAAGATAACAGTTTTAAGTCTTAAAACACCCCTCTGCACTGTGTCCAGGGAACGCAAGGGGAAAGCTACAGACACGAAATGATTGCATTAGAATGAAGGTTAGGCTCTGGGTGGAGAAGTGACCCAGCCCCACACTCCACCTTAGACTGATATAGGAAGTCGTGGGTGTCTGGGGGAAAATTGTTGTGATGATGATGTTAATAATAATAATAATAATAACAGCACTGACACTAATAATAATATAAACAACAATAGCTAATGAATATAATAAAGATAACTGTGGGTCAGACACTATTCTAAGTGGCCTACACGTATTATTTCATTTAATCCCCACAACCACCTTACAAGGCCTGTGCATTTATTAGGTTTCTCTTCACAAATGGAGAAACTGGGCGCAGAAAACGATGTGTTTTGAGGGCCTAAGGAAGGAAGGGATGGATCTGGGGGTGAACTAAGGCCAGCTGCCCCCAGAGGCTGCTCTTACCCATATGCCGAGGCAGAGACAACACAGACAGGGTATCCTTGAAAAAGTAAAGGTTTGGGGGTCCGACGGACCTAAATCGGAAACCTGTAGGGCCCTGGGAAAGCTACCCACACGCCTGCTTCCAAATCAACAAAATAAGATTAGCAACCCAGGCTTCAGGGGCCGAAGGGAGGCAGGTTGCCAAGCACCTAGTGCCCAGCCGGGATGGGGTGCACAGCTAACGATTTGCTGCTTTTCAGGGGGTCTGGCTTAAGGAAAATATTTGGGGGCTATACAAAGCTGCATGCGGAAGGAGGTTTGCTGCAGTAAACCACATGTGCACACAAACGTCAGGAGAAAGCCCTGGCGGGTTTGCTCAGTAGTTAGAGCGTAGGCCCAAGGCCTGTAGGGTCCCGGGTTCCATTCCAGCCAAGGGCACGTACTTTGGTTGCAGACTCGATCCTGGGCCCCAGTCGGGGCACGTGCAGGAGGCATCCACTCGCTGTGTCTCTCACATCCGCGTTTCTTTCTCTCCCTGCCCCCCCCTCTGAAAAGCAATGGAAAAAATATCTTTGCGTGACGAGTAAAAAATGATAATAATTTTTAAAAGGCAGGAAAAAGTCTGAAAATAAATATGCCATGGTATAAAGTTATTTTCTTTTAAAATAAAATTCAATTGTTACTTTCTTGCTTCGGGAGATAAATGAAAAATATTTTTTCAATCAACTTTAACATCACAGTTCCACCATGCCATAGCCGTTACCCACATGCAAATTTTCAGGGAATTCAGTGTGATCTGAATATGACATTTGTGACTTTTTATTATTTATTTAAAAAAATTTTTTTTAAAAATGTATCTCTGTTGATTTCAGAGAGAGGGAGGGAGAGGGAGAGAGAGAGAAACATCAATGATGAGAGTCACTGATCGGCTGCCTCCTGCACGCCCCCTGCTGGGGATCGAGCCCGAAACCCGGGCCTGTGCCCTGACCGGGAATCGAACCCAGATCGCCTGGATCCTAGGTCGAAGCTCAACCGCTGAGCCACGCTGGCCAGGCAACATTTGTGACTTTTTGTTCAGTATGGGAAGCCATAAAGACAAGTGGTTAAAAGACAAGAAAAACATTTTGAAGCACCTGACGTTCATACTTTTATTCCTAGACCCACCAGAAGAAAATACAAATTTCTTCGAGGCAAACACTAAACTAGCTAAGATTTCAAACGCGTCGAACAAAGAAATGCTTCCTACCAACTGCTCTGTGGGTGTCTCTAAGCAATTGCTTGCTCTCTGCCGTCTCCCTGATTGCAAATGCCTGCCAAGGAGCTCCAATCATCTTTATTATCCGCTGGGTGCCCCTCCGCATTCCCTGGCACTTCCTGCACAACCAGAGGGAGGTTTTCCATCTTCTGACGACGGTAACCTAGTGCAAAAGGCAAGGACTTTGGGGGAAAGAAAAGCAATGATAAGGCCATGGGGCCACCACAACGTGTGAATTGCTTTCCTGCCTGTCCCCGGGGACAGTGTGCAGCCTGCGAGCCGAGGACTCTGCGGGGGGGAGGAGGGGGCAGGTGCTATTTTGTGGGTAGATAGCAGGAAAGCAATCTAGAAATTTTAAACGGTTACAATCAAATCCCTTGTGTCTGTTCATGTGTAACAAAGATCCACCCTGGTTATGTCACAGATAAAGGGCTGCCTAATCATGACACGGTGGCCTTCGGGAAAGAAGACTGAGCGAGGGGGAACGGGGCTGGTGGGAGGGGGCACAGGCGGGGCTCCTGACAGTTTCTTCTCAAGCTTCACAGCCACGTGACCCCGAAGCCTCTTCTTAGACTCTCTTTTCAAGAAATATAAATCTCCCGATGACCCAGGGCCTTTACCTTATGGAAATCACTAAGGTCTATCGAGTTACAAAATTAGAAACACATCGAGTCTCGTGCGCCGGTTGATTCTTGGATGCGCCCTGACCAGGGATCGAACCCGCAACCTTGGCAAATCGGGGGGAGGCTCTAACCAGCTGAGCTACCCAGCCAGGGCCCCTGATGCCGTCTCTTTATAAAGCTGTGTTCCACTAACTGAACTGAATTGAGCTCCCCCAGGTTCT